TTGAGGAGGAGGAAGAAGGGGGCATTGTAGGAGAGTGGTAGGGCACTTACCTGGCTATGGTGGACACCGTCTTCATCACCTTGTTGGGCGCTGCACCAGGGCAGCTCGAGGCAGAGGCAGGCATAGTGGACCAAGTCAAGCAGCGGCATAGCTGCTTTGGGTTGTCTACTGGACATCAGGGCAGCACCATAGCTGCCACCTAGTAGTCCGCCATGGCCTATGCATGAGAGAGGAGGTTGAAGGAGGGAAGACATAGCCATGGTGGACTTGTTGTTGTTGTTGTTGTTGGGTTGTGAGTTGAGTCAGCAGTAAGGGGGAACTTCGGACATTGATTCTGGTTCATCCATTCATCGTTATTATTATTATTAAGAGAAGAATAAGATTGGTGAAGAGGAGGAAGGAGGAAGGTGGAGAGAGAAGGGGGAATTGTCATTGGTCTTGCTGGTGTACTTCTTCTCCTTCTTCTTCTTCTTCTTCTTTACCTCTCCGCTGGTCTTTATCTCTTTGCAAGTGCTTTCATTTCTTTCGCAATTGGGTGGCATTGTCTTTCATTGTGAATTTGCACTTGGGAAATGACCAGGATCATAACATAATAATAATAATTATAAAAAAAAAAAAGCACACATGACACGAACACAGACACACACAGGTTTGTGGGACTGGTCCAACATGCTTAATAAAATTTGGAAATAATAACGTACGATCTTCAAAGTTCGGAACTTCGAATCTTGAACCAGCACACATAACACAAACACACACACACAGCAAAGTTTCACACCCGCTCCAGCCCCCAAGTATCCCGCCTCAGTGTGCGTACATGGTGATTGGTCCCGTGAGAGTTCACTCCCCGTCGAACAAAAAGCATAACACACACACAGACACACACACACACACACACACACACACACACACACACACACACACACACACACGCACGCGCGCATGCGCATGGGCGCAAAGGTTAAAAGGAGGAAACAAAGAGTGCAGCTGAGTCATCAATAGTGCAGCTGAGAGCAGAACACAATCAGTAGTTGCATGCATGCATGCTCAGTGGGGATGCGAGTTACTGACCGTTTTCGCGTCAGCTGACGGTTGACCTCCACACATTTCTGTCTCAGCTCCCTTGCCAGTCTCTGCTCATAAGAAGCGAAGAAAACACCCGCAATTCAAGGAAAAAAGAAAAACAGTCTCCCTCGTCAGATGAGATGTATCCAAGGTCATAACAATCTTGATTACATGGAAATCTTCCATTCGAGGTTCATGGGGACATAGCAAATTAGCAATCATGCCCCTAAGACTCTCTCTCTCTCTCTCTCTCTCTCTCTGTGCGTGTGTGTGTGTGTGCCTGAAAGGCCGTATTTGATATCTTGACGGTGAATATACATAGGAACCTGTGTTACCTTGGTTGCCCGGGCGGTCCTCGGGTCACCTTGGTTGCCCAGGCGGCCCTCGGGTGACCTTGGTTGCCCGGGCGGCCCGAGCGGCCCAGCCTGGCAAGGGCCAGAAAAGGTCCCTCACGTTCAAAAAAGAAATCCAAAATATCCGGAACGAAACTATGTTGTGCAGAAAAATACTCTGACAAACTTTTCACTTCTGCCTCAGGGTGACATCAACATTCTTTCCCAAATAACAAATTAAAAAACTATATTGATTATTATTATTATTATTATTATTATTATTATTATTATTATTATTATTAATTCATTTCCGGCCCGGCTGGACAAGTGGTCCTGCGGAACCGGCTCAGCAGCAGACTTACTTCAGCCTCGTCGCGGTCATGCTGCAGTCTTGCATTTGTGAGCTCCTCCTCCTCCTCCACCGAGCTCTTCCATTCCATCAGCAATAAGGCGAATGCCTCCTCTTCTCTCGCTTTAGCAAGCGCCCTGAACAGATGTATGTGGACAGATGTATGTGGACATCCCAGATCAGTCCCATGCGGCCATTTTTTCCCCCTTTTCCTTGTTTTCTGTCTTTTTTTATTCACAGTGATGTATGTGATCACAGAGCATCATCCCAAATACGGCCCAGACCACGTTGGATGCAAAGGAGAAGAAAAACGGGAAGAAAACGGAGAAGAAAAAGAAAAGGAAAGAAAAGAAAAGAAAACGAAAGGAAAAAAAAGAAGGAAAGGAAAGGAAAGGAAAGAAAAGAAAAGAAAAGAAAAGAAAAGAAAAGAAAAGAAAAGAAGAGAAGAGAAGAGAAGAGAAGAGAAGAATCTCTAAGTTCACATTCAACCACCACTACCTCCGATCCTGTTTTTGCCGAACCTGAATTTCACTGCGCACTGAGTTCACCTCCTAGTGAAAGCAGTTTAACCAAATTAAGTAAGTTAAACTCTGAATTACCTAGGATGGGGCGGTCCGATGATCATGATACCTCAAGGCCATCTACCTTTTTTTTCCTGAAAAGGAAGAAAAGGTATGGGCCACTACCAGTCAGACTCTCTCTCTCTCTCTCTCTCTCTCTCTCTCTCTCTCTCTCTCTCTCTCTCT